GTTAATGCAATTGTAGGAATTCTCAGGACTGCATTGCAGGGAAAGCGTGAAAGACAGTGTAGGAAGAAAGCCAAGGATTTTGAAATAGAGTCAATTTCATCGCTGTGTTTCCATGATTCCTTTTATCGGCCTGCCGCGCTGTATCGATTACGGTTGGTCAAGCGGTGAAAGATTTGTGTCCAGTGCTGCATTGTTTATTTTAAGGTAGCAGATGAGACGCAAGTGAAAAATGGTATGTCAAAAGTGAAGGATGAATTTGGACGACTAGATGCTGTGATCAGTTGTGCCGGGATTTCATTCAATCATAAAACATACAGTTTTCACTCGGCCAGTCTCACGCAGAAGGCCGCTGCATGGGCCGATTTAAATAAAGTTTTTAGGGTAAGTCTTTTACAGTTGTGATGAAGCCTTTTGCAGTTGTGTCATCTGCAAAGCTTAAATGGCTCAGATTTTCGCATTTAGTGTTCTTTCCATTCATATCTCGAGACAGGCCATTAAAAGCTTTGGCGATTCAGAATCCCTTGCTTCATTTGTGCTCGACTGGCTCACAGAGTGAAGTCGAGGAGGTTTTATGCCAATAGAATAGACTATGTGTTCGCTTCTCCTGCAAGTGTTTTGGAAATTTTTTAAGATGCAAACTATGAAAGTTTGTTTGGTACTATAGGCTCGCCTATGAGAGGGACACAGTCGAATATTGACAGTTGTGGGAAAGCAGGAAGTGCCAATTTAGCTACCCAGATAAACGAGTCTGTATTTGCATTAGCTGTTGTCCTGTCTATGTTTCATCCCTGAACTGTAAACACAGACGGCAGAGCCGGTGCGGAATGGGCTGGGAATCATCAGTACAGTGCCCCATTCTTCCATGTTTAAACGAATATGTGATTTTCCGAAGGAAGATGAAGGGAGGAGGTAGAGGTGACAGTACAGAAAGTAACTGTTGCAAAGGTAAAAATAAAAGTAAAACTAACATGCAGCAGATATTTCTCCTTCTTCGTTCTTTTTGCCGGTGGTTCACTAGATAAAGCCATTTTAGCTAAAAACCAACAATAACATCAATTAAGCGCATGTCTGTTCTATCAGTGAAATCCGAATCCAAGCGGTGGTGTCCCTACTGGTTTTGTAGGTTTATTATAGACTGACAAAAATTTCTAATTCCCTTGTTATCCATGTCAATGCATTTGCTTAAAATGGCACGATTCCGGAAATAGAATTTTAAAAGAACTCTCTGTATTCTATTAGTATCATATCCTCGACATTCATAGATTTTACTGAGTCTTCTGGCCCACCACGTGAATCTGTGGATTGTACTGCAAATTCTAGCATACCGGAACATCTGGGACATAATTATTCCATCATGTATAGTGGGGTCAGCACCACTATCTGGATGGCTGGCTTGGTTGACGGGGAAGAGGTAATCTAGAGTTTTATCGTAAACATCAAACGTGCAAAGTCCGTCAACACAGCTGATTGCCAGGTCAGGAAAACAGGGCGTACTGTCCGAAATAAGTAGTATTAAGTGTAAGCGTAGTTCCATAAATCTCTTTGGCGTGGTCAGGGAAATCCGGGCAATTGATAGCCAGAATATCGTTAATGTAGTAGAAGCAGAGCCCAGTATTGGGATGTCTACGAATATGACGGAATTCCATTACGGATAGCGTCAGATTCGCGATGTCGTGGCTAGCATTTCCGTCCATGGGAACACCTTATATCTGTCTGAACAGATATCCATCAAACCTGACGTAAATTTCAGAGAGAATAATACGTAGAATCGCCTTGACTTCGTCTTTACTGTAACAGGCCAGATCAGTACGAATTTCATTAGTGAACCACACTGATTTGAACCCAACAGCCACATATTCCTTGCACGCGTTTGAGAAACATAGGTCTATCAAATAATTCAAATTGTTGGCAATCTCCGTGTGTGGCAAGTTCGTAAAGAGATTGCTAAAGTCCGCAGAGTGGAGATGACTAATGGCGGAAGCGAAAGCATGCAGCCTGTGTTGTACTGTTTGTGAATTTGGCATGCTAAAGTATAATCTATCACCTGTACGTTGAGCAAACTTATTGCAATAGTTTTGGAAGTGGGTCCTGAGATGCGCAAGGATTTGATGTAGCATAATAGCTAACCCTCGTAGTGAGGACTTATTAGCTGCAGCTATAAACCTATAACCATAAGGATCCTTATGCAGTTTCGGAACAGCGTGAATTGTAGGGATGTAATCACAGAGTGCAGTGGGGGTTATTCGGAAGCGGCTGCTAATACCAGCATGCATCTTAAGCACCTGGTGGAAACTCATAGTCACAGGAGTATATACTTTATTACCTAGAACTTCCTCTTTGTACGTCAAGCCTAACTCTGTGCAGTGTAGCATCGCATAGAATTTCTTGCACACAATGATGCAGTTTTTGGGGGCTTTGTCAGTTCCACACGATTTCTATCAGCCCCTTTATCTGCAACAGCCCCATTCATTTTGTATCGAATGCTTTTCGGTAATCGAAGATTAGGGAAGAGAGAGAAAGTGATTTTATACGCCCTTGCCAGCAACTCGTTTAGTACGAAAAAGTACCTTGATTATTTCTAAATTCAGTTTGCTTTCTCTGCTGCTACTTGTTGAAGAATGTAAATGTGTCGACTGTAGTAATTCTCATGAGCACTTGCAAACATGGGAGAATAGACAGGTTAGCAGTAGTTCTTCAGATCTTCCTTTGTTGCTTTTTGTGAACAGCTTTCGACTGTGCCCACTTTTATGCGTTTTTGCCGTGCAGTGCTTGAGCGCTGCAACAGGCAGCAAAAACGCATTTTGCAACGACCCTATCAGAGTGTGTGTGTGTGTGTGTGTGTGTGTGCGTGTGTGTGTGTGTGTGTCTCTGTGTGTGTGTGTCTGTGCGTGTGTCTGTGTGTGTGTGTGTTCGGGTATTTCAACTCGCTAACCGCGCAAGCTTTGAAGCTGAAATTTTGCCAGTGTGTCCCCCAACCAGGTACCACCCCAGGACCGCAGTTTCAACCCTCACGCACGTCTGGGCCCCGCGTACGA